CAGATCTCAGCCTCCTAAGTAGCTAGGATTACAGGCATGAGCCACTGATGCCCAGCTGCCTAGGGTTTCTTTAGCTGTAAAACTATATATGTATTTTTTCATCTCAGAGCTTGCTCTTCCAAGACTGATGAAACCAAGTTGGGCTTTCTTGTTCAAGACCAGCAGAAGAGGAAAAACATTCTCCAGCACTCTTGAGACGCTCTTAAATCTGGTTGAGCTATATTAGGTTATACATACCTTTATGAAACAATAAAATATGTGTTAGCAGAATGACTAATGCTACTTGATGTAAACAATTCATCCCTGAGATCTTATTAGATACCTGGGAAACACTGAAAATCTGTTACAAAGGGGGAAAAGGTAAATAGATACTGAGTAGGCAACCATTGTCTGCAAAATTATCTTGTTCATGTAACTACCAGGTCATCTTGAATAATAAAATTCAGTTTCTCTCATAGTTATCTCAAACTTTAAAGAAAAAATTTTAGAGCTTGAGTTGCCTGATATTTAGGTAGGTGTGTGTGTGAGAGAGAGAGAGAGAATCCTAAGGCTTGAACTTGGCCTGGGTGCTGTCCCTGAGCTTTTTTGCTTAGGGCTGGTGCTGTACCTCTTGAGCAACAGCTTCTCTTCCACCTTTTTGGAGGTCAGTTGGAGAGAAAAGAGTCTCATGGACCTATGTAGGCGGGCTTCAAACCTTGATCCTTAGATCTCAGTCTCCTGAGTGGCTAGGATTGCCACCACTCAGCTGTAGTTCAGTTTTTACAAAATAAGACAATTAGCAAATGTTCAAAGGACTGTTCCATGAAGAATAATCCATACAGAGACCTGAATCTGGATGCATTTGGTTCCAAGAACACACAACTACCTGGACATAAGCAATGCAGAAGTATAACTTACTCCCCTCTCAGGAAGTGTGCAGATTGAGAGTTCCAGGTTTATGATGATGACTCAATGATACATTCTATTTATGTGCTCTTTGTCCTCATCCTTGGGCATGTCTCATGGCCATAGCAACTGCCAAACTATTGCATCATCACACAGCTGAACTCTGGGTTAGGCCTCCATAATGTCTAGGGTGGGCTTTCCTGCCACAAGCTCTTCCAATTCTTGCCTCTTGCGCTTCATTAGTCACATGCACACTCTTAGTTTATCAAACCAATAAGATGCCGTGCTTGTCTTCTGCACATCTTTGTTCAAGACCTGGCAACAGGTGATTCTTCATCTTCAAAATAACTTGTAAAAAGCAAAGATGAAGACAGACATGGCTCAAGTGATAGAGCCCCACCTGAGCAAAGCAAGCAACTCAAGTTCAAACCCCAGAATCAAACAGTTGCAAATCTAGCCTGAATTTCTGACCATGCCTGGGAGATAATGTTTAGCTGTCTGGCTTTATAACCTCTGTCTCATCGCCTACAGCTGCTGCTGCTACTGCACCTATGACAAGTCATTCTCTGTTACTGGAATATACCACATATTTTTGTTTTATATTTTGTTCCCCCGTCCTGTGATACTCTCCCCCTAGCTGGGGAACACCTAATCCTCATTTCAGACTAGCTTAAATGTCACCTTCCCTGCAATACTCTCCCTCATTTCTTGGTGCCCCCATCATGTTGTTTGTTTTTTTCTTTTGAACACATTTTATGGGACTGCAGTTCTTCTGGGTCATTCTTCCCTTGCAGACAAAAAGAAAAATCTTTAAACATGCTAATTATCTAAGGTTCATCTTTATATCCTTTGACATCAGTACACAGTTTATCTTGAAATAAATACTTCCTGAATTGAATCAACTCAATAAATTACCCAATTTCTGGAGGTTTCCTCCCCTAAATATTTTCCAATACAATATTTTCATGTTTATAAATAAGAACATGCTATAATATATACTATAAAATTTTCTATCAAATCTGGTTTTAAAGGCAATGTTTCATTGTATTCTAATCACACATCCTGTCTGATGGGCATGGATATCATATTTATTCTTAATAAATGATTCTTGGACTCATGTCCAAACAGCATATGAAAATCTTGTGTAGTGATAAATGTATATAGCTACATATAAGCTCCCGAAAGCCTTAGTAAGATATTACTCTAACACAGGTGTGTATGATTTAGACTCACACTGACTTAGCGTTAATCCCTCTTTGTGCACTAGCTCTGTGATCCTAAGCAAACACCTTTTCTTCTAGGCCGGCACTATACCACTTGAACCACATCTCTAGCTTCCTTATCTTCTCTAAACTTGGTGGTTCTATTTAAAAAACAAGCAAGAAAAGATAAAGGAGAGGAGAAGGGAAAGAAGAATAAAAGAAAGGAGGGATGCATGTCTATAATCTCAGTATTTGAGGTTAGAGGCAAGAGGGTCAGAATTTCAAGGCAAATGTGGGTAAGATAGACACTGTCTCAAAAAAAATAAAATAAGTATCTTGGGAAGGCATGCAGAAACCAAAGCAGCTTCATAAACATGAGCACCCTCTGCTCACATAATCACATGTGGATTGACAGGGAAGCTCCCTGAGTTCAGTCTGGGCAGGCGGGTAAGCAAGCAGTAGAAGGGGTCTGCCTGTCTCTTTAAAGGTCAAGGCCAACTCATTGGGCAGGCTTGCTGAGAAAGATGACCTGCTTTGAAATTCAATCTTGGGCAGAGCCTCGGTTACTTCTCTGCACCTGCCTTTCCTGCTCACAGCTGGCAGGGATGCCAACTCTGAGAGCTGGGGCATGACTAAGGTGGATGGATGAGCAGCTGCTGCTTATTCAAACATGCAGGTTGGTTGGGAGGCAGACAGGGAACAAAATCAGCACATGGGAATCTCCACACTCCACTGCTCTGATGACATCATGGTCCATCCATTGTCATGAGGGAGGCTTGGGGTATTTCTTCTCCAATCGGTCCTTCCCTTTTCCTTTACTACTGAAGTGTGTGTGTGTGTATGTGTGTATATATGTGTGCGTACGCACTTGTGTGGTTATTGTGACTTGAACTCTGAGCTCAAGATCTCAAGATCTCACTTGACTTTTTTTTTGGGGGGGGGGTCCAGTCGTGGGGCCTGAACTCTGGGCCTGGGCGCTGTCCCTCAGCTCTTCAGCTCAAGGCAAGCGCTCTACCCCTTGAGCCACGGTGCCACTTCCAGCTTTTTCTGCTTATGCGGTGCTGAGGAGTCGAACCCAGGGCTTCATGAATGCAAGGCAAGCACTCTACCACTGAGCCACCTTCCCAGCAGTCTCTTGACTTTTTCTTGCTCAAGGTCAGCACTTTATCACTTGAGCAGCACAGGGTCAGCACTTTATCACTTGAGCAGCAACCCCACTTCCTACTTTAACTGGTTAATACAATTCTCTTAAACTTTTCTTCAGGCTTTCTTTCCCAGGCTGGCTTTGAACCTTGATCCTCAGATCTCAGCCTCCTGAGGACCTAGGATGACAGGAGTGGGTCACCAGCACAGCTTGTCATTGTTTGCTTTGAGGCTTCTTTCCCCTAATACTTGTCTCATAGCAAGCATTCAGTAAATATGTGTTGCACTGAAGATTCACTCAGCACACTTGACAATACCTGTTTGTTTTTAAACTGGCTGCATTTTAATAGGAAAGTAAAGGCCTGTGGATTGAGCATTTGGATGGTTCTGGAAGGTGATTGAGTTCACCACCTGTACTTTAGGGGCAATAAAACTTAGGGGCAATAAACTTTAGGGGCAATAAACCCAGCAGCCAGGAGGGAGAATCAAGAAGTCACATTTCTTACCTTAACGTTTGCAGAGTCCAGATTTATTTCCTGGCAGTCCAAAGTATATCCCCAGAACTTCCTCCAGAAGTTCCTTGGAAGTCATCTGACTTCAAAGGAATGTGAGGTTAGGAATCATGTATTTCTACTTACCATACAAACCACTTAGCCCAGAGTCTTAAGTCTGGTTGTCTCAGGTTCAAATCCAGCCTTTGCCACTTTCTCCTTGTGGAAACATCCTCACTCTGTGCCTCAGTTTCACTCAGCTTTAGAAGGAAGGGTATTCTGAAGACTGAATAATAAGTATATAAAATTCCTAATATAGATCTGTCACTTAAAGGGTGTTTATGAGATAGTATTTATAATTTGGAAATATTGGGGTGGGTGATAGTGATGATATGAATTACCATTTCTTAACTATTACTAGATCCAAACACAGGGAGTGTTTGCTTAGAATTCAAAAGGCTGCATTTACCGAGCTATTTCTGTTGAATGCACATAAAATAAACATAATGATTGTTCGCAATGTCTTAATGAAATCTTCCAAGAGATCATCCAGTTTTCACTGCTGACCCTGTATCTGCTACGAGTCCTGTGCTTTGCTCTTTTGACATGCCCTGCTCTCTCTGGGGAGCCCTCTGCCCCACCCTCTAGAGAGTTCTCTCTCTGCACCTTGTCCAGCCTGCAGTGTGAAGATGAAATCTCTCTGCCACCTTTGTTGACCTGAGGTCTTATCTTGTCCTCTGGGAGGTATGTTAAGTGCTCTGCCAGTCTGCCTGTGTGCCTGGCCTGTTTTCTCTCACTGCCAGTACCTCTTGGATTCCAATTCCAAACATGGTATCCCTCCGGGGTCACCCTTTCTTCCGGTGCCAAGAGAGAATGCATTCCAAATGGCACACAAGTGTGCCTCCCATGCTGGGCGCTGTCATTCCGCCTGGGAACAGAGAGCAGGATGTGGCCGCTTTCCCCTCCACAGCTGAAGTTGTCAGTCTACCTTTGTCTGGGGACAATTTATATTCTCTGCTAGGAACCAACTATGAAGTCCATCCTAAAAAACCTGGAGTCCACTAGGCAGAAACAGCCACAGCCTTGCTGAGGAAGAAAAACACTTTCCTATTTCTCCACGAACTATGTCTGACGTCCATTCCCAAAGCCACCGGAAACATCCCTCCTGGCAAAGGCAGATTTGGTGGTGAGAAGCCAAAGGTGAGAAGACATCTTGGAAGGACAGCTCAATTCATTTGCACAGTTTCCTATGTGTGCAAGGCTTTGAGACACCCCAACAATGAGCGCCAACAGCAGCACAGTGGGCCAGCTCCTCTTTCAGGGGCCAACGTGTGTTGGCTGGAAGCAGGTTGTGGAAAGCGCTGTCTACCACCTAGCCAACTGCATCCTGCTCTTCGGCTTCATGGCTGGCAGTGGGGTGTATGGATGCTTCTACCTTTTTGGCTTCCTGGGCACAGGCTACCTGTGCTATGTACTGTGGGGCTGGTTTGATGCCTGCGGGCTGGATGTGGTCTTCTGGAGTTGTCTGTTGACTGTGGTTTGCCTGCTCCAGCTGGCACACCAGGTGTACCGCCTGCGCATGAACACCCTCCCTGAGGAGTTCGACCTTCTCTATAAGACACTCTGCCTGCCCCTGCAGGTTCCCCTGTGCTCCTACAAGGAGATCATTCACTGCTGCCAGGAGCAGGTCTTGACTCTGGCCACAGAGCAGAACTACGCTGTGGAAGGTGAGACACCCATCAACCGCCTGTCACTGCTGCTCTCCGGCCGGTAAGTTCCTCTGCCATTGTCACTGCCCAGGATTTTTTATTTTCAGCTTCAGCCTACACCTACACTTCTCATTTCCCAGCATCCCTTTCCATTTCATATCTCCTTTCATTGAGGGAGGGATGTGGCAAGTCCAACAAACTCAAGTTGATTTTTCTAGGAGTGAGTTTGCTTCCTCTTTCTTTGTATTTTCCAAGAGGAGACCAGATCATGAGGTATCTTCTTGGTTGGTAAGTATGACTGTGTGAGCACTTGTGGCTGGGAGGTATGGGGTGAATGTGTCTTGAACCCAGAAATAAAATGACAAGAGAGAGAGAGAGCGCTATATATATGTAAGCTTCAGAAAACTGGACATTTCAATAAGATTAAATTTTCTTTCTATCTGTATTAACATTTACTAAGCATGTACAACTATGTGCAAGGAATAAGACCAGAAATAGAGGAGGTCCCCAGTAACTTCTCTTCCTCCTGGGGCATCAACTTCAGCCCTTACTTGTGTTTGTCCTGTACTGAATCTAAAGTACACCCATCTATGTACAGCCAGGCATGGAGGGATATATCCCCTGCCCAATTTCCATCCAAATTGTTCTATCAAGATTCTTGTAGATGGGGCTGGGAAGGTGGCTCAGTAGTAGAGTGCTTTGCCTTGCATGCATGAGGCCCGGGGTTTGATTCCTTAGCACCACATAAGCAGTAAAAAAGCTGGAAGGGGCCGTGTGGTTCACGTGGTACAGCGCAAGCCTCGAGCTGAAGAGCTGAGGGACAGCACCCAGGCCCAGAGTTCAGGCCCCATGACCAGCATAAAAAAAAAAAGATCCTTGTAGACCAAGAAGTCAAGCATTTAAAGCTGGGGGCCCTAGCCAGAGAGCAGTGATGTCCACATTTGCTGCAATGAGGATTTGGCAGATACACTTACCTCCTCAAAAACACACTGGCAGTAAGACGATGGGAGCAGTGGTCTCCGTTCTCGATCAGTGCATGTCCACCTGGTCAGCAGGTGGATGGCAACTACTGGTGTCTAATGAGGAAGGGCCGTGAGCCTAAGTACTGTACTTACAGATTTTCTGAAATATTATCTTGGTGGCTCTTGAGGGTAAGCACCCATTCCTGCTGATTTCTGCCAGCCTGCTCAAGACTGCAAATGTGGCCGAAAAATTAAGATGGTGACCAAGAGGTTCTGATTCCAAGAAAGGACTAAAAGACAGAAACTAACTAAGACTGCTAACCGTGCCATCAGGGAATGAACTTACTGATGACAATGGTATGGCAACATAATGAGTAATGAGGCGCCCAGGTGTATTATTTTATAGGCTTCAAAGTGTTACATATAAACACATGCTTTTTTTATTTTTTGAACTCAGAATAGTTGAGTGAGTTATGAAGGGAGAGATATTTCATATCATTTAGGAAGGAATTAAAAGGACAAAACAAGTGAAAATATCTGTAAACTCTACATTATCTGAAAACAACTATACATGGCAACTATATCCAAAACATTTGCTAGCTGTAGTTCCATACTTGAAAGCAATTAGGGAACTTGCTCATAATGAGATCTATCATGTTATTTGCTAATTGTATCCTCTGTTTAAAGGAGGGACTGGAGACCAGGAAAAGTCCCCCTCCACTGCATATCCTCATTTCTGGAAGCAGATTGTAATTATCATGCAGTTCAGGTGGCTTATATGTGATGTATTTCCTCTGAGCTTATATAAGCCCACGATCCCATGAAGGAGAAGAAAGGCTTGTCTGTATAGTTCTTTCCAGTACACTTAGCAGCAAAAGCTTAAGTGAGAGGCTAGGGGTGTAGTTCAGCGGTAGAATGCTCACATAGCATAAAAGACCCCAGGTTCAAACCCCAGAACCACCAAAAAAAAAAAAAGCATAAGTTAGAAATTAGAAAGTATACTGGGACAATGTTCTTGGCTTGTTATCTTTGAGATCATGACAGTCTTTCATGCAGTCCTAAGTTTCCTAAGTCAGAAAGGGGGAACAAGGCTTCTAACCTATTCCTGGGCTCTTACTTGAAGGGAGAATCACAGCGGCCTGAGCTGGGTAGAATGTGGTACCGAATACCAGGAAGAGGACCTTCTTGTGCAGACTCCAGTGGTGCACGCAGCCCGTGGTCTGGAGCTCTTTGCTCAAACTTCAGGAGTCTTTTTTTTGTTTTGTTTTTAAAAGGCAGTGCATCCCTTTCAAGACTCAGAAAACAAAGGGACTTCCTCACAGCCTGTCACCTGCTTAAGCTGGGCTGGTCCTTGCAGTTTCTCTCTTAGAAAATGCACGGCCCCAACTCCCACCTGTACAGCCCTTGAGCAGGTAGCTAACTTCTTTCTAAAGTATTCACATGAAGACGTAACCTGCCATCGAGACCAAGAAAGAAGAAGAGACAGATAAATAAAAGATGGAGTAGGGGCTGGGAAAAAATATGCCCTTGTACTCAAGGAAGGTCCAGTCAAAGAAGCCAAAAATTAACGTAATGCTATGCTATAGTTTTCTTTCTTTTCTTCTTTGCTGGTCCTGAGGCTTAAACTCTGAGCCTGGGCTTTGTCCCTGCGCTCCTTTTGCTCAAGGCTAGCGCTCTACCACTCGAGCCACAATGCCACTTCCAGCTTTTTCTGTGATTTCATTGGAGCTAAGTCTCACAGACTTTCTTCCCTGGGCTGGCTTCTAACAATGATCCTCAGATCTCAGCCTCCTGAGTAGCTAGGATTACAGGTGTGAGCCACCCGTGCCTGGCCTAGCGCTATCATTTTTCTATAAAGAAATGCAAAGCATAACCAATGGGTCACCAAGGGGTCTCTTTTTCTGAGGAGTTCAGATAAGACTTTCTGTGGGATGAAGTGTTTGAGATGAGGTCTGAGGGAAAGAGGTCCAGATGAAGTCAATATTTATTTCACATTTTCCTTCTTCTTTTGTTTCTCAGGGAAGTGTTTTCAGGACAGTCTTGGTTTATCACCCAGTCTTGTAGGTCCAAGTATGTTTCTGCCATCAGACGCTTTGGGATGACTCCATTCTTAGCCTAATTGGAGACCTACATTCTCTTCTGGCTTTCTTCTTTAGGTAGTGATCAGATAAAAGGTAGTTATGCTGGTAGTCTCTTGGTGATTTATATGTATACACTATATCTAGACATTGATTACAAACTCAGCTTGGGAGTGTTGATATCCCATGAGTCCAAATTTAACCCCTGGGCTCTAACTAGCAGCAAGGGACACATCCTTTAGCTGTTCAGCCATGTATCCAGTTAAAGCTCTAGTACTGTAGAAGATGAGAAAATAAAAATCAGATACTGGAGAACAGAGTTCCCAGATCTTGTCTATCCCCATCCTTTTCTGCTTTCCAACGGCCTAGTCATCCTTTGAATCTCAGCTAAGCGGTCATCAAGAACTTTGTTGTAAAGGCTGGGAAGGTGGCTCAGTGGTAGAGTGCTTGGCTTGCATGCATGAGGCCCTGGGTTCAATTCCTTAGCACCACATAAGCAGAAAAAGCCGGGAGTGGTGCTGTGACTCAAGTGGTAGAGTGCTAGCCTTGAGCTGAAGAGCTGAGGAACAGCACCCAGGCCCCACATCCAACAACAACAAAAAACAAAGAACTTTGTTGTAGTCAAAGACCAATCTTTCCCCCTCTCTGGCTCCTGTTCTACAACAACATGTATCACTCTGACTTGCTGCCAGTTATGTGTGTGCCTGTGACTTCCTCTAACCTAGGAAACCCTCAAAGACAAAGGCCAGATTCTACCTTGAGAGTCCAATTGCTCTGGGATAAGGCCCAGGCCTGGAAGCTTTTTTTGAAATTCTCCCGCCCCAGCTTTCCATCCTGCAGCTAAGAACTGAGAACTATGGGTAAAGAGAGGAGGGAAACAAGGCTCAGAAGTCTCCCCTTTTTCAACAATATCCCCAGCTAAACAGACGGCGCCTGCTTTGGATTCTCTCATGCTTTAGATGAGATGTTACTGCTGCATGATTTGCAATAACCTGCAACACATGCCTTCAATGAAGGAGATTTAGGCAGCCATTTCCCTTTCCCACGCCATCTTTTCTCTCCTTTTGACAGGGTTCGGGTGAGTCAAGATGGGCAGTTTCTGCACTACATCTTTCCATACCAGTTCATGGACTCTCCTGAGTGGGAATCGCTGCATCCCTCGGAGGAGGGGACCTTCCAGGTAAGAAGGAGCCCCGTGCATCCTTGCCTCGCCTGTCCCTCTGCAACCCAGCAGCAGCTGCCACATCTGTCCCCTTTCACATCCGTCCATTACCACTTGCCAACGTGATGGTTGGGTGAGGCCAGGGCCACTTCTCTAGGGAAGAATGACTGGACTGCTGGAGAGCAGGCACAACAGGGAAGTACTAGTCTTTGAGTGGTGGGCATGTAACTCCTGTGCCTAAATCTCTTTCAGAATACTCAGATGCCCTCAAAATAAAAACCCACAGCCCTTAGAGAGTAACTTAAAGAGATTTCTGGTCACACCTCTGTTAGGGAAGATCAAGTAGACAAAAGGGAAGAGAGGAGACAGAGACCTCAACAGATCAGATAAGAATTTAAACATTGCTGAAGAGGGGTGCCAAGTACCAACAAACAGAGTCAGAGATACAAGGGCAAAGAAGGCAGAGAGTTTGGGGCCAAAGAAGCTGTTGAGTTGTAGGATCTGGCAGCCCCAAGTCCCACCCAGGGACTTTTAGGTAGGGCCAGGGATGTACACTTCCAAGTAGAGCCAGGGATGAGGGGTTTTTGCTTTTGTTTTTAGAACCACTTCACAGTGGGGATTTCCTAGATCATGCTCTGAGAATGGGCCTGGAGGGAGGGAGGTCAGTGAGCCTTAGGGGCAACACTGGCTTATGAGGGCAAGGCAGATTCCCATTAATCTCCAGCCCTCCCTTCCTTATACCTTTGCACTTACTAGCCAACCAGCCACTAATACTTCTCCACTCTTACCACATTGGTGTACAACTTTATGCCTTGGCCACTACTTGGTCTTTTCTATCTGAAATGCATTTCCACTTGTAGATATCTTGGCACATCCCTTCCTCTGTGAAATCTGCCCAGATCCAGATTCACCAGCTTCTACACATGCAGTTTCCTTCTCCTTTGGCTTAAGCAGACTCTGCCATGTTGCTTTATCTTCTGATGGTCTGGGTTTCTTTCTGTCTTCCACATGGTGAATTCTTTAAAGATTTGGTTTTCTCCTTTTCTCCAACCCCAGGATCCTAAAGACAATCCCAGAAACACTTGAGATATTCAAGAAAGATTTATTAGGCTGTCTTGCTAGTGGTCTGTTGATATCCCAGAGGACGCTATAGAACGCTCACATCTACCTGCCAACCAGGGAGTCTGGCTTCTGATCCCTCGTGTTTTCTGTCAGGCTGCAGACTTGATTGCTTCCTTTGTAGTTCTAGACTGCTGGATAGCTAGCATGAGGCAGGCACTGCATAATATTCTGCCTCATTGATTCACACAAATCTGGGGTAGGTATTATTATTATTGTTGTTGTTGTTGTTAGCATAATTACAGATGAGGACACCAAGGCTCCAAAACATCATAAAGTTTATCTAAAAAGTTGCAAAGCTAAGCAGTAGCCTGGATCTGCTGTTTGCACTCTTGTTACAAAGTGAGAGGACCACCAGAAGAGTGGAGTTTATACACACACATACACACACACACACACACACACACACACACACACACACACACACACGCTCATCCATTCTTTCAGACTCCCTGTCCTGATAGTATGTTGGCACTGGGTTCCATGTGTCTCCTACCACTTCAATCAAGGAGTCCCTGAGCCAACATATAAGCCAAGCCCGGAAAAGACACATTCCAGGCAGTGCCACTTGGCTGGATCTGCTTCCGTCCCCACCCTGACAGTTGGTTCTGTGGTGATGGAGCCTGAGAGGTGTTGTTGATCCCATGGCCAGCGTTGCCAGCCACAGACCCCTCCATTCATATGCCATTCCACCCCACACATCTCCACCCTCTCTGACTGGCCCAGCAGAGTCCTCTGGGAACTCCCTAAGAGTGTCCAGGAGGGCTGAACGGCCCTGAGCCAGCTGGACCAGGACTGTGACACTGACAGAAAAGAGCAGGTGGGGTTCCCAAAGCCCTCCCCTGAATTATGGTCTAAAGGAAAAGCTGTAACCCCAGATGGCTTCTCAGCCTGGAATGTGAATATGATCGTATTTCTCTCTTATATTTTTAGTATGTACCTCATTTGGAAGCAATAGGATCCCACAGTTGCTATTGGCAGTGTAAAGTCCCATTTCCTCTTTGCAGATAGGTCCCCCTGGGGTCAAATGCTGTCCCAAGTTATAGTTCGTCCTGAGCTTGCCTTTTGCAGTGACATAGTTTTTGTTGACAGCAAGAGAGAAATTAACAGTGACTGCCTAAGTCAAACCCCACATAGTCTTTAACACAGGTAATCAGCATTCCATCACAGCCCTCAGCAAGCCAGTTACATTAGATCCGCTAACTGCTGACACTTTGACTCTCTCAGAAATCATCACTCCTCTAAATCTATACCCCCATTTTCCTGGACTTAGGTCCCATTTTCACAGAGCATCACATTTAGTCCCTTCTACCAACCTGAGATGAGTATGAAGGAAAACACTTGATACTTGCCAACACTTTATATACCCATATGCATGTGGGAACCAATCCAGGAGAAGGTTTCTTTGGGAAAGAAATTTGTACAGGACTTGACAAAATGTCAAAATATTGTTTCGCAACATACAAGATTATAGTCTTCACTTGACTCATTCATTTTCCAGGAATTTTGACTGTGCATTTGCAGGCACTGTTAAAGGTGTTTGAAATATATCAGTGAACAGCAGAGTTGAAGGTCCCTGCCCTTCAGTAATTTACAGGATAGTCACAGAGACAAAAAAAATCCACAGACATAATAAACAAGTAAATTATGTACGTTGTTAGAGGGTAATAACTGCTATTTCAACAAGAACCGCAGCATGGAGTAATTCAAGGGAGAGGTAGTAGTAATTTTAAATAAGGTTACCATAGAAGTCCTTATCATATACATGCCATTTGAGCAAAGTATGGATTCTAGGTATTTGGAGAAGAACATAAGCAGTAGATAGAAGGAGCAAGAATAAACGTCTTGAGGTATGACTATTGTGCTTGAAGTACAGAAAATCAAGTAGGAAAGAGATAAGCAGGTAAAGAAGCTGAAGGGGTGACAGAGGACCCAGACTATGCAAGGGTCAAAGCATATAGTTTCTGAACAGAGGCAAAGGGGTTTCCTATTGAACTGGATGTAGGATGTGAGAGGAAGAGACAATCAGGGAATATTCTGTGGCTGGTTGACTGAGCTAAAGAATGCTGCAGTTAGAGCTGGTCTGGGGAAATAGAAGGCTCTTCCTGAAATGTCCATCTTCTGTGGACAGCTAATGGAAAATGCTGCCCGAACAGGTGGCTATTCTAGTCTAGAATGCAGAAATGAAGTCAGTCGTGACTCATAATTTTGAGAGTTGGTTGTAGACAAATAATATTTAAAACCAGTGTATGAAATAAGATCACCTAGTAAATGAGTGTGGAAGGGATTCAGTAATGGACACTGTAGTATTAAGAAGTTTGGAGAAAAAGGTAAAGCAGTGAAGGAACCTGATAAGGAGAAATCAGGAGGCTGTCTTGTGAGTTTGGCATATTGTGTACCAATGAAGACAGTATATTAAAGAGGAGGGACCTAGATCAATCAGTGCAAATCAGCATGTAAGCAGACTTATGGAAACAGCAACTTAGAGGATCATCAGCCACAGGACCTTAACCAGAGCAGTGATTGAAGGAATTTAAAAAATCTAATAAAAGCTGAGCACCAGTGGCTCATGCTTATAATCCTAGCTACTCAGGAAGCTGAGATCTAAGAATCATGGTTTGGAGCCAACCTGGGCAGATAAATCAGAGAGACTCTTATCTCCAATTAACCAGCAAAATGCCAGAAATGGCTCAAGTGATAGTGTGCTAGCCCTGAGTGAAAAAACTAAGGGATAGTAACACCTAGGCCCTGAATTCAAGCCCCAGAACTAATACATGCAAGCATGCACACTTGTGCAAGCACATGCACACACACACACACACACACAATCTAATAAAGACCATTTGGAAAGTCAGACTTGGCTTTAATTTGATAATCCTTTGAAAGCACTTAGTACAATGCCTGGCTCAGAGTTACTTTATAATAAAGGTTAATTGTTATGATCATTACCATCATCATCTCCACTGTCTCCATCCGCAAGTGTACAACATAAACCCTGCCAGCCCACAGTACTCAGGCTGATCAGATTACTCATTCCTGAACTCCTAAGCATGTCTTCATTTCGTCCCCAGCTTTATCATGAACAAGGATTTATTAAGTATCTACTGCATGCTGGGTAATGACATTGCTTGTCTGTCTCATAAAGGGCGAGTCAGCTTTCCATCATGGCTATGCAGTGAGTGCTCAGAAATTCCTAGGTGCATACATGAGTGGAAAACAGAGAAAACAGAGTATCGTGTTCTTTGTCCTGAGAAAATGAAGCCATGGGCAAGCATCCTGACTTATCCTCAGAACTTCAGAACACTAGGAAATCTGTCTCTCTCGTAACCACCATGAAATCACAGCTAAGGAAACAGAACATAGAAAAGGCGTCTCCAGAAGGTGATAGGCCAGTCAGTGAGTGGCTGAGCCCAGGCTCCTGACACAGGATGTCCCCCTCTCAGTGCTCACAGGTAGGAGCCGAGGCTGGACCTCCTCTAGGCAAGTGATGGCTGGTATTCACCTGCCAAGTAGCCACGAGGCCTCCCATTCTGGGTGAGCACACGCATACCATTGTCATCTAAACTTTTCCTCCTGTCCTCCCCACCCTCCCAGGTCACTCTGACTGCCGAGACTGAATGTAGCTACATTTCCTGGCCCCGCAAAAGCCTCCACCTTCTTCTGAGCAGAGAGCGATACATCTCCCGCCTCTTCTCGGCCCTGCTGGGCTATGACATCTCGGAGAAGCTCTACACCCTCAATGACAAGCTCTTTGCCAAGTTTGGGCTGCGCTTCGACATCCGTCTCCCCAGCCTCTACCACGTCCTGGGTCCCTCCTCCTCCTCGGATGGAGGACCAGAGTCGGAGAAGGAGGAGGAGGAAGGTTCTGAGCCAGGCTGGTCCCCCGCGCAGGCCGCGTCCACCGCTGTCCAGCCATCACCCCCTCTGGTGCCCACCACCACCCTTCCTGCACATGCGCCCCGGGCCAGGCCATCCAGGCCGGACAGCAGCCCCCTGGGTGAGGACTCCACCAGTCTGGTGCTGGAGGATTTTGAGGAGGTGTCAGAGTCGGAGTCCTTTATGGATTATAGGAGTGATGGGGAATACATGAGGTGAGGGCAGAACTAACACGGGCACGGGCACCGGCTCAGGATCCCATGTAAGTACGCACAAGGCCGCTGCCGCCTGTCTGTCTGTCCGCCAGAGGCTGGCTTTCACTCGGCTTCGAGGGGCGCGGGATCCGCTCCTCTCTGAGGTCTCTCAGAGCTCAGCTAACCCCTCAGAGCTCAGCTAACCCCACCTTGCCTCTCACTCTGGGAGCATGCAGGGCATGAAGTGATTTTTTCTAAACCCATTTACCATGCAGTGAATTGCACTGGGGAAGGTGGGCATGTCCAGTGGTCTGGCAGCTTGCTTCTTCCCCTTCCCCGCCCTCTCCCATCCCCCAAGGTTGTGCTAATTGCTAAGACCTCTGAGGCTAAACAGATTTTATTTGTATTATGGATAATGATGATAATGGTTTGGTGGTACTGGGATTTGAACTCAGGGCCTCATACTTGTTAGGCAGCTGCTCTATTGCTTGAGCCACACAGCCAATCCCGTGGGATGTGTTTTAGTGGCTCATACCTGTAATCCTAGGTAATCAGGAGGCTGAGATCTGAGGATCCTAGTTCAAAGCCAGTCCAGCCAGGAAAGTCTATGAGACTCTCCAATTAACCACCAAAAAGCCAGAAGTGGGGGTATGGCTCAAGTGATAGAGTGCCAGTTTGAGCAAAAAAGCTAAGGGACAGTGCTCAAGCCCCAGTGCCAATAAATAGATAAATAAATAAATGCTGGCATGATTCTACTCCCATTGTGTTCCTGACGTTCTGGAAAGCAGCCAGCTAGCCTGAATAAGCTGGAAATTTCTGTAAGTGGCACATTTGAAGCAACTCGTGATCACAGGCTACTGGTTCTGAAAGGAGAGTGTCCCGTCCTGCTTTCCTCTGGGTCACTCGGGCAGAGGGCTGGATGCTGCTCTGGGTGACGTTACTGTTAACCAGGGGATAAGACAGCCTGGCTTTCCCAGCAAACTCTCTGTAGGGGAGGTGGGCTGGGCTTGAATCTGGGAGGGCCTACCAGAGTGGAGGAGGCAGAGTTTCCCTCCTGGAACTGTGTACAAGAAAGGCCACACTCAGTAGTTCTGGGAAGTTGCTTTCATGTTCCCCGGCTGCGGTCACCATGTTATGACATATTCCTCTGGGACTCTACCCCAACCATGGTGGAGGCCTGGCTTTTCTTGAGGAAAATTCCCCCACCCTCAATTCTGAAAGCATGTGAAGAGGGTGTAGAGAGACCCCCACCATTCTTTGGAAGCACCCACAGATCTCTCATGGAGCTTGCCTGGTGAGGAAGACCCCCAGAGGTAACAAAGTAAACAACTGAATGTCTACGGATTTCCAAAAACAAGTTGTGGGCTGGGAATGTGGCTTAGTTGGTAGAGTGCTTGCCTAACATGGACAAAGCCCTGGGTTTGATTGCTCAGTACCACATAAAGAGAAAAAAACAGAATTGGTGCTGTGGCTTAAGTAGTAGAGTGCTAAGCCATGAGCAAAAGAAGCTCAGAGACAGTGCCCAGGCCCTGAGTTTAAGCCCTAGAACTGGCAAAAAAAAAACCACCACCACAACAACAAAATGAACAAACAAAACAAGTAGTCAGGCGCTGATGGCTCATGCATGTAATCCTAGCTACTCAGGAGGCTGAGATCTGAGAATCGCAGTTCAAAGCCAGCCCGGGCAGGAAAGTCCGTGAGACTCTTATCTCCAATTAACCACCAGAAAACTGGAAGTGGTGCTGTGGCTCAAGTGGCAGAGTTAGGGTTTGGGTTCGGGTTCGGGTTAGGATTAGAGCGCTAGCCTTGAACTGAAGAGCTGAGGGACAGTGCCCAGAACCAGAGTTCAAGCCCCACGAATGACAAAAACAAAAACAAAACAAGTTTCATGCATGATGAGAGAAGCCAGAGAAATGAATGATACTAATGGCAGATATTGGGGTTTGTAGATGTGGGGGTTCTCATCTCCTGGGCACTCATAGTTGACTTGATCCTGGAATGGTTCCAAGGTTCTGAGACTCACAGGGACTTGGCTAGCTTCCCCCATTTGCCCAGTCCTCCCCTCCTCTCCCCACAGTGCTGCTGTTCATCTTCCTACTTGGCTACCTCTGTCCATGCTCAGCACTATGTCCTATGGATCCCTTGTTATGTCCAGCATGACTTCCTACCTCAAACTCCCTTATCAACTCACAGAGTCCTTTCCTTGTGTTGTTCTTGTTTCCCTCTCTTCTGGGTTCTTTCATTTTCTTCTTTCTCTCCCTTTCTAACTGCTGCTCAGTCCCTGGTGCTTCTGTTCGTCTTTTAAGTGTCCCTCTTCTCCTCACCATTTGTCCTGTCTTCTTCTCCCGACTTACTGTTCCTAGACTAATCTTAAGGTTGTTTTGTTCTATTGCCTACTTCCTGGCACTGCTTTCTCTTTATCTTGCTCCCAAACCACCTCATACTTCCATCTTCTGGACTTAAATGTATAGTCCTTCTGCCTCAGCTTCCCAGTTATTATAGGTGAGAAATAGCATGCCTCCCTCTATCTTATTGATTTTTAATCCTAATGCTTTCAAGATCAGTACCTATTTCTCTAACTAAAAGGAAAATCACTCAAGCCAATGGCTCACACCTATAATCCCAGCTATTCAGGAGGCTGAAATCTGAGGATTATAACTTGAAGCTAGCTGGTACAGACAAATGCAAAGAACCTTATCTCCAATTAATCAGCAAAAATGAGAACCAAAGGCATGACTCAAGTGGTAGAGCCCCTGCTGTGACCAAAAAACCAGAGTAAGACCTTGAGGCCATGAGTTCAAGCCTCAGTGTACACACACACACACACACACACACACACACACACACAGGAAAACCATTCAAATAAAGATGTAAAATTTCCCAATTTCAAGAATATTGTCTGAACATCAGAGGCAGGCAGAATGGCAAACAAGAAAGAGACAAGAGCTGGAACTCATGGCCTGACTTGGGTGTCTGGCTCAGCTTCTCAGCAATTCTGTGATTTTGCTAACCATAGCTTCACTGAATTCTTGCTTTTTTCACTGAATTGTTGGGCTTTCTGTCCGTAGAAGCCTTCTTGGCTGAGGTGAGAAGGCAAAGAACAAACTTTTCAGAGGAGGGAAAGACACAAGTTCCAGGACATCTGTGTGCTTTTCAGCAAGAAATCTTCTATATTTCACTTTCATTTTTCTGGTCACTTAAGACTGTTCTTCCTGGGGGTAGTAGGTCCTGTTTGACTAGAACTTTCCTCTATTCTGTACCTGTAAAGAACCCATTACTTGCCATGTGATGGTAGTGAAGATATTCTATGTGAAAGGTCACAGCTCAACCAACAAATCCTTAATCATTTATGATATGCCAAATTTACCATTTCTGAGACTCAGACAAGAAAATGCTAACATAACTTACTGTCTACAATACTGGACTTTGTTGCACAAAGAGAGCAAGTGTTTTGGTTTGAGTAATAGAGAGGAATATTTTACCATACAGTTCATTTTTAAACCACAGATCAGGCTTTCAGAACAAGGTTCACGAAAGAAAGCATGCTTTCAAAAAGAAAGCATGCTCAAATTGACCAAATTTCAAAGATCTTCATTTAGTCTTAAGACCATGGGATAAATGAACTTGAGACCTTTTCCTAAAATTGTGGTTTGTTGGCTTTTATTCAACTTATTACCGTCCAAGTCCTTAAAGGTTTTGTTTTTCTTTGCTTTGTTTGTGTGGGTATTAGGGCTTGAACTCAGGGCCTGGCAGCTGTACCTTAGCTTTTTTGCTTAAGGTTGATGCTTTACCACTTGAGCTACACAGCTCTACTTCCAGCCTTTTGGTGGTTAATTCAAGATAAGAGCCGCATAGACTTTTCTGCTAGGACTGGCTTTGTTTGAACCATGATCCTCAGATCTTACTCTTTTGAGTAGATAGGATTTACAGGCATGAGTCACCAGCACCTGGCTAAGAGTTATTACTTTAATAAACAAACATAAAAATAAGCAACGTGGTGGTTGATAGGAATTTACTACAGCTTCCTTTATTAAGTAGGGCATAATTCACCATCTCCCTCCTGGTTTTCTAGTTATCAAAAATGGCAAGCTCTTTGCTATTAGTTCCAGCACAACATTTACCCGAGAGGCAGGAAGCTGGCTGAGCTCTGCTCTGTTAGGCTTGACACTGACCCAGTGCTATTTCCACACAAATACAACTGAAGAACCAGGTTAAGCTTCTACTGGAGTTCTAGTCTGAAGACAGCACAGTGATTAGTCTGGTGGTACACAAAAGCGAACAAAAATGGTGTTGTTTCTTGTACAAGCCAAACCGTGCCAGAGAATACTGTATTCGCATAGGATCTTCATGCCAGATCCTCCCTCACCTAATGGGGGGTTTGCCACTTGATGCTGTGGGCAGCCTCTGCTGTGTCTACCCTGTGTCCCTTACCCATTAGAGATACTTGGTGAAGGAGAACCTGTGGAGAAATATATCGTTAAGGTGGTCGGTGGAGTTGGACAATGGATCCACTATCACAGACTAAATTAGAAGCCATTTGAAATCTGGCTAATTGTTTTGTTTTGTGCTGATGCTGAGGTTTGAGCTCAGGGTCTGGGTGCTATTCCTGCACTTTTTCTGCTCAAAGCTGGCACTCTGCCATTTAAGCCACAGTAAGATTTTTGGCTTTTTGCTGGTTAATTGGAGATAAACGTCTCTCAGGTTTATCTGCTAGAGCTGGCTTCCTCAAATCTCAGATTCCTGAGTAGCTAGGATTATAGGAGTGAACCACTGGTGCCTGGCTTGAAATGTGGCCAATTTTGATTATGTCTTCATGTTGTTGTAAATGAAAATTTCAGTCATTTGGAAAGCGAAAATTTTACATAACATTTCCCTTTTTTTAATATTTATGTAATCAAATGATAGATTAAAATCCAAAGGCAAATTGTGGCTCAGGAAAGAAGCCCATGACTTGATTTGGGGTAATTCTTGTGGGCAGAAATTTAATTCAAGGCTGAAATGATAAGGAAAAAGACTTCGGCTTAG